CTATCCGTAGGAAGAGGGCTCTTCTTTAGGAGTAGTAACATCATGGAGTAGAGCAAGAGGAAGAGGATGGCGAGTAGCTGTTAGAGCTTGAGCCCATCTGGATGCCATGAACCAAGTTGTCATAGTATGAGTGCGAACAGGGGGTCCCATAGCAGGGGTTGTATCTAGCAACTCTTGAATAGGTCTGGTGCGCCGAACTGGTAAAGGATCATCAGTCATGGAAGCTTCCTGTTCTGGTAAAGAGGAAGAAGTGGCAGATTCCTCATTAATAATAGATAGAGATGGCAGGGGATCAGGAGATACCTCAGGAATAGAACCAGTAGAGGTTGGACACATGTCAACATTATGGAGGCCCAGAGAGGGAAGAGTAACCCCAGTAGGAGCAACAGGACTGGGAGATGGTGATGATTGGACCATTCTAGGGAAGGAATGTTCATAAAAAACAACATGGCGAGCAGTGATCTCCTTGTCGGTAGTAGGGTTGTAACAATGATACCCTTTGTGACTGTTGTTGTAGCCAATAAAGATACAAGAAGTATAGCGGAAATCCATTTTGTGCAAATTATAAGGCGAAGTAGAGGAAAACATTTACAACCAAAAACTTTCAACGTAGAATAATCAGGAGGTCTGCCAAATAACTTCTCATAAGGAGAGAGATTACCAAGTCCTGGAGTAGGTAGTCGATTGATAAGAAAGACTATAGTTTCAGTAGCATCGGCTCAGAAGGACTGAGGGAGAGAAGAGGATGCCAATAGAGATAAAGTGGACTCAATGATATGCTGGTGTTTGCATTCAGCACTGCCATTTTGTTCATTTGTGTGTGGACAAATGAGACAGTGAGAAATACCAGCATTGTCAAGATAACGGGAGAGACAGTGAAATTCACCACCCCAATCACTTTGAAACATCTTAATCTTTGTAGAGAAAAGATTCTCAACATGGTTCTTGAATTTAAGAAACACATTAAACACATCCGATTTTCTCTCAAGAGGAAAAATCCATGAAAATTTTGAATATGCATCCATAAAGAGAACATAATACCAAAATCCTTTATTAGATAAAGTTGGGGAAGGCCCCCATACATCAGAAAATACCAACTCAAGTGGAGAAGAAAAAATTGTATTTGAAGACAGTAAACTTAAACGGTGGGCTTTGCCCATCTAACAAGCTTCCCACACAGAAGGATAACTAAAAGAATGAGACTAAGGTAAACCAAACTTAGAGATATTATTTTTCACAACTCTTAAGGAGGCATGACCATGTCGTTGATGCCATCCTGGCAGGGAGGTTTTCTCTCCAACACAAGCTTCCAAGTTTTCTGTCCTCTGTTGCACTGCTCTAGGAAACTGATAGAGTCCATCTCTACTGGGTCTTCTGAGTAAAATTCTCTCCGTATGGTCATTCAAGACAAAGAAATTCGGATGAAATTCAAAAATCAGATTATTATCCTTGGTAAATTTACTTATATAAAGCAAATTTTTGGTAAGAGAGGGAACATGAAAAATATTCTTCAGAGTAAACTGATTATCATTGCACACTAATGAAGCCGGCCCTGTATTGTTTATACTCAAACCTGTGCCATTACCAATCTTTACTTGATTTGAACCTTGGTACTCAGATCGAACTTGTAAGTTGTCAACATCTGGTGTCATATGATGGGTGGCGCTAGTGTCTGGGTACCATACTGGATCAACTAGATCCAGCCGTAGAGCCATTGTGAGGAACACCACTGTGAAAGGCTGCAGGATTTGCTGGATGCGAGCTGCTTTCTCCTTGATATGACAAATCAAACCGTTTGTAACACTTCAGTGCACCTTGGCCTGGTATATTACACAATTAACAGATAATGTTATTTCCTTTGCTACGGCCTTGGCCACGGCTTGAGGACTAACCTCCATGCCCCTTGCCTCTACCACGATTGTTTCCACCCTTGTTTTGATTGTAGGAATTCTGTGGGGTCTGAAAAATGTTAGTAGTATTTTTATTGTTCGTGGCAACATTCGCATTAGGATTTTCACTAGAAAAATTGTGTTGTAAAAGTCAGGATTCAAGGCTCAAAAGTAAACCAAGGACATCACTAATATTGAGTTGATCTACATCAACTCGAATTGTGATGGCTATAATAAGAGATTCATACTCACTTCTCAAACCAAATAAGACGTATAGAACCAGATCTTCCTTTGCTACTGATTCCAAAACTGCAAAAAGATTATCTGTGATGGTTTTGGCCTTCTGGACGTAGTCACTGATGGAGAGATTCCCTTTCTTTAGATTTTGAAGTTGGCGCCTTAGTTTTAGCACCCTAGATCGAGAGTGAGAAGAGTGCGGCCTTTCCAAAGCTCTCCAAACTTCAGCAACAATGGAGAGACCAACAACTTGCACCAGAACTCCTTCAGTAAGAGAGGCAACGAGCCAAGTAAGGACCAACTGATCTAGTTGTGCCCAGGTAGTGAAGCCTGGGTTCAGAATCATCCTACTGTTGTCATTTGGATATGGTATATCTGTTGGAGGAGGCTTGGCCGGCCGATCCAACAACTAGTCCCATGAATTTGTGAGCTCGAAGTACTGGAAGCAACTGAGCTTTCCAGAGAAGAAAATTATCTCCATTAAGTTTGATGGTAAGATAGTGAGAGATGTTGGAAATCGAACCGAGGCTCATTGGTAGAGAAGCAGTTTGAGAGAAGGTTGAGCTTGAGCTCATTGCTTGACAAGCAACTAATGTATTGTAGGCCATAGGCTCTGATACCAAGTTAAAGTTTAAGAGAAGAATGGATTTCAAAGAATGGGTTGAATTCCACTATGTTGAATGACTGTACATGGATGATTATTTATACACAATAATAAAGAATAAATTAGAAACAATTACAAGAATAGAAACATGGCTCTCTTTAGTAGGAAACTTGCTAAGAGGAGAGTTTCCTTTTTGCTCTGATTGATCTTTCTTTGGTAAGAGGTCTTCGTATAGTAGCTGGTCCTTTTTTGGTAGGATGACTAGAACCTTATTTGGTAGGAGATCCAGGGCTCTCTTTGGTAAGTGGGCTGGAGCTCTCTTTAGCAGGAAGGCTAGAGCTATCTTTAGCAGGAGTGGAAGAACCAACTCCTCAATAGTTCTCAAATGAAATATTGTTGTTGCAGAGTTAGTTTCAGAGTTTTTTTTTTCTTTTTTTTTTTTTTTATAGAGGCTTGTTGCAGATTTCTGAGTTTTTCAAATTTGTTTTTTCCTTTGTTTATCAGTCTTTTTTAGCTTTATTTAAGGTTCATCGTTAACATTCCAGGTTTGTTTGTTCGGGCATGTTTTCTTCAAATAAATACTTGGTTCAAGTCGGTTCAGGCGTTAATCTTGTAGGAACAATAAACCAGGTACGATTTTGCAAAACATGACGTTTTTGTGTTCTAAAATCAACAAAATATGGGTTTTGAAATCCAAACCAACTCATTGGAGGTAAAAAAAATCCGAAAAGTGAAAAAGAATGTAAAAAGCGGGAAAAATATAAACCGGCTCATTGCATGACCCGTTCTAATGTGCGGGTTAAGAAGACAACCAAAACGGGTCATTGCTGACCCATTTTCGAAAAATTGTCCAGACCATATAGAACCAATCCATGTAACACTGGTTAGGTTGAGATATTTATTTTGATAATAATTAACATATTAATAATAATAATAAGAAGAAAAATAGTAATAATAATATAATATAGGGAAAATGCCCTATATCAACCATCCAAACGTTGACAAAAAACTTAACAGTCCCAAATCCTAGCCTCTTCTATTAAAAAAAGTTGGTGACTTTTTCGAAGAATCTAGAATTTGGGACTGTTCATTTTATTGTCAATGTTTGGATGGTTGATAAAGAGAATTAGATGGCATTCTTAGGGCATTTTTGAATTTTCAAATGTCACTTAACGAATGAATAATGGACTGGTTAACAACAGGTATTGGATTGTCACATTTTGAAAGTTCAGATATTGAATTATCGCATTTTAAAGTTCGGGAACCAAATTGTCACTCGAGCCAAAGTACAGGGTACTGATCAAGAATTTTCCCTATAATATAATATTAATAGTAATGAAAAAATAATATAATAAAAATATAATTCAGATATTTATTAAAAAATTTCTACAATATAAGTTTATTTTAATATTTTCATTAATTATTTATTTATTTGAAAATTACTAAAAATTCAAAAAAAAAAAACTAACCTTCATTTTCCACTAAATATTACTGAAAAAGTTTTAGTAATATTGAAAAATAATATTTTACAAAATGTTAAAAATTAATTTTTTAGTAATATTTGAAAATTTTCAGCAATTTATGAAAAACTTTCAACAATGATTGAGAATAATTTTCAGATGCTTATTATTGTTTTAGTAATTATTGAAAAATTTCAATAATTTTTAGTGGAAATTAATTTCAGTAAAAATCAAGTACATAAAATAATTGAAAATAATTTATTGTATTTTTGAAACTTAATTATTGATTTTCAATGATTTATTTTATGTATTTTTATGAGCTGGTCAATCAATTTTTGTCAAGAATAGTTAGTGATACCAGTTGATCACCTCTTTTTATGATACCAGTTGATTCTCTTTTATCATACTGTGGATTGACTGTAAGCTTGTATCATGTCTTTTTAGATATTATGATATCGAAAAGACATAATATATGTAGAGATTTGAGCACCCCATGAATTTTTTAAATAATACATGGTTGGTCACCTCTAAATTTTTCTAGTATCATGTCTTTACGATATGATAGTCGGAACCCTTTATAAATTTTGTTAACCTTGTGTTCCACAATTGGTGCCATAGTCCCTTTGAGCTAAGACAAAATATTCCAATTTAAGGGTGATAATTCACATATTAAACTAAAAATATGAATTATTAGATGAGCCAGGCCAAGTATATTTTTACCGTAGAAAATTTCCCACCCAACGGTTCTAACTTCTAAACATGGGAGAGGGAGAATAACCTCAATTGTTATCCCAAAGAGGATTCCTTTTCTAGACTCTTCAGAAATCAGCCGACTCGGAAACTTTATAGAGCAATAAAATATTCGTTTTTTGTGCTCTTTCTCTCTCTCCCCATCCCCAGACAAAGGAAAAACTCGAGCAGGTCTGTCTTCGTCTCCGTTCTCTCGTTCTATTCCTCAAGAGAAAAGAAGAGAAAAATAAAAGAAAAAAGCTTTCTTTATTCGTACATATTTCGATTCTCTATTTTTTGGCTTGTGATGGTGCTTTAATGGTGTGATTTTGCAGTGCCTCTTTAAAAGGAGATCTTCATAGGGCTGTTCGAGAATGACCCATATCCGTGAATTCTTGCTTCTGCCGGGTTTTCATTGTTTTTTGTAGTTTTAATTCAATTTCTTTCTCTTTTTCATTGAATTTCCCTTGTTGATTGTGATAACTTTTGTTTATAATTTTGGGTTAGAGATCCGATCACATCGGGGCATTTCAATTGTTTTTTTTCCCCAAGTACTTGGGGCGTTTTGATCTTGTTTTCCCTTAATTCGAGCTAACGCGGCAACCAAAGAGAGCGTGATCGTGAAAGAGCTCTTGCCAGGAATGGCCAGAAGACGAAAGGAAAAGATGATGGCCTGACCCCTGAACAACGCCGAGAAAGGTTTGATTCTTCTTTCTTGCTCTTTGTTTCTCTGATTCTTTCTTTCTTTTATGGGTATTGACTATTGATGTCGATAAAGAACTTGTATCGACAACATTTTTCCCCCATTTATTTTTATGCTCAGAGATGCAAAGGCGCTGCAAGAGAAGGCAGCGAAGAAAGCAGCACAGGCTGCAGCTGGAGGAGGGGATACGAAAGGTAAAAGCAGCAACAAGAAATAACCGCAGGTTTATTGTATAAGGGAAATGGGGAATTTAGATGCTTGGATCAGATTTTGGGTTTTCTCTATCCGTGGCTAAATGGAAGAGAGTTGTATGTGGGTGTTGATGTTTCGTGGTTCTTTGTCTCTCTGTTTTGTAAAGATTACCTCTTTTGGTCTCAGATGTGAGAACTAGTTCATGTTTGATTCGAGCAACTCTATTTCTATTGAATTCTTAATTGGAATATGATCTAGAATCTCTATTAAGCTTTATTCGATCTGCTTTTGTTACTGTTGATTTCCTTACATTTCGAGCAATTTTATCAAAAGGCCCTGGTTTGTAGTCTCTTTTAGTTCATGAACTTGGAAAACGATGTACGATTACGATCTGCTTAAAATTGTAAATGATATATAGAGCTCAATAATGACTTTCTCTTTATTGTATTGACGATGAATTCATGAATATATTTTGAGAAACTGCTTTCTCGTTAAATTTCCTGTTCTGATGAGCTTTTTTCTTTATAGTAATTGTGATTAAGTTGTGATACCACTAGAGCTTTTTGAGATCAAGCAATGAGCTTGAGCTTTTTGGGACCTTGTGAAACCACTAGAGTACCTGTTAATTTTGAGTAAAAAAGGCAGTTTTTTGAAGCGCAAGTTGAAGAAAAATTAGAAGTTAAGAGGCTTTATTTTTGAGTGGTATAACATCATTGAGAGAGGTGGTCTAGAAGGGGTTAGTGGAATTGACTCAGGAGAGGAGATTGTCTGTTGCAGTAAAGATTGGTATGGTGGAATTGTGAGTGGTTCTTGAGAACAGAACAGAAACCCTGTAGATTTATTATTCAGCCTTCTAGCTCAAAATTATGGTTGTATATTGGTTGGTTACCAACATATGAAGATGTGCAATTATACATAACTATCTAGTGTTGCCACTTCCTACCAGGAATACCATTGTTTGGATTTTGCTGATCCCAAAAAAAAAAAAAAAAAGAAAAGATCGTTGTCTGGATTCAACATTGATGTTGTCTGTGAACTGGGGTTTGTCATTTGCTAGTTCATGAGTTCTCAATATGAGAGTGATGGCTTTGAAGTTCTTATTGGTGATCCTATCTTTGGTTTGATGGTTAGGATTTAGTAGCTGCCTTTCCCAACTATATAGGGTGGGTTACATAAATCTAGTTTTGCAATTCCCTTCTGTTCAGTGTCAAGGA